GAGGGAGAGGAGGAGGGGGGAGGAGGCGAGGAGGGCGGGAGCCGGGGCTGTCTGCCAGGCCCGCAGCCTCCCAGGCCCTGCGGGCTGGGCACTGTCCCCCTCTCCCCCCCCACCTTCTTAGTGAGAACCCCGACGCAGGAGGGGTGGGCTTGGAGGGAGGGGGACGCGGAGTAAGAGGGCACCAGGTAGGGCGAGGCTCAGGGGCAGAGTCGGAGCGAGCAGGGGGCGGGGGCGGGGGGGGCGCCGCCCAGGCGTTACCCGCGCAGGAGGGGCAGCACGGCCCCCGGCGCGGGTGGGCGCAGGGCGCAGGCGGGCAGGGCAGCCGCTGGCAGGACGCGGAGCCGTGGAGGCAGAGGCAGCGGCGGCAGGGGTCGTCGGGCAGGGAGAAATGCTCCAGGTGGCGGGCCGGGACCCCGCCGCCCGGCCGCGGGCAGCCCGAGGAGGCGGCTGCAGGGGAGAGCGCGCGTCAGGGCTCCCGGGAGAGGCTTGCGGAGGCTGCCCGCTCTCCCCGCCCTCCCCGCTCTCTCCGGGCCCGGATCCGCCCGACGGCGGCGCCTCCTACCGGGGCACCGCGGGCAGCAGTCTTCGGGCAGCAGGAGCGGCTCGGGACAGGGCAGCGGCGGGCAGCGGCGGGCGAGGCACTGCACGCTGCCGCTCTGCAACGGGGGGGCCACGCCAGGCCCGGTTAGCGGCGGGAGGCAGGGGAGATGCCCGCGCCTCCTGACGGCCACCCCGGGGCCCCGCGTCCCTGGTGTCCCACGTCCCGCCCCTCCTCCCCCGGGCGGGGGGCGGGGGCGGACTCACCAGACAGCGACACTGCCGGCAGGGGTCGGAGGGGTGAGGGAAGTCCGCTCCGCTGGGGTACTCTTTCCCGCCAAAGGCACAGCCTGGGGGATGGGGCAGCTGTAGGCCCGGGAGGGGCCCTACTCCTCCCTGGGTATGCTGCCCTTGCAGCCCTAAGAGCCCATAGAGGGGACCAAGCCATCCCGGGAGACACCCCCCAGCCCCCATCCCATCCACCTCACCATTGCAGTCGTTCTGGCAGCAGGGACCAGGCAGCGGGTGGGCACAGGGGGCCCTGGGGCAGGCCCGAGGCTGGCAATGGGCATGGCCTTCCCGACACTGGCACTCCTGGCAGGGGTCTCGGGGGTGCGAGAAGCTCTCGCCATCCACGAACACTCGTTCCTCCAGGATGCAGTCTGAGCATTGGGGCGGGGGGAGGGGCGGGAGTGGCGGCAAGGCCTGACAGTTCTAGGGCTGGGCCAGGTGCCCAGCCATCCTCGGGGTCCAGAGCCACTGAGGAAGGGCCACGAGGAAGCCCCGAGAGGAGGGTCTGTGTAGGCAGGCGTGGGTGGCTCTCTGAGCACACGCTTGTGTGTGTGTGTGTGTATCTGAGGCCATTTACGTGCGGGCACGTGTGTTGCCCCTGAGGGGGACGAGCCAGGGAGCTCAGGCGTGCAGGTGCATGTGTTTGTGATACCCACCCTGGCACGACTCTCCACCAGGGCAGGACTCGGGTCACACTGCATGCCAGCACCCAGTCTCCGCATGCCAGACCCAAATGCTTGTTGCATGAAGCTGCTTCATACAGAAAGATATGCAAATATATCCGACTGGTGGGGGCATTGGAAGAGGAAATACTGAATGGAAGGAAGGAATCACAGAGTAACACGAAGGGATAAACAAATCTCTACTCTGCCTCCCGCCCATACTCTGTGAGTTCCAGAGAGTTCCAAGCTGTGTCCCGACTGGAAACAATTCGGAAGGCTGTTGCTTTCTAAGGTATCTGGTGAGCCCAGGGGGCCATGGGAGAGCTGGGTCCAGGGCCCCCAAGCCAGACAGGTGCAAGAAGCACATACCTGGGCACCTGGGACAGCACTGGCCGGGTCCACTCTGGGGCCTGGCACAAGTTGTGGGAGGGCAGTCAACCAAGGAGCACCTCACAGTCCCCTCCTGGGAGCAGGGGAGAGGGCAATGGGGGTGGGCCCCAGGAGGGGCTCAGCAGGGCAGCGCAAGCCTGGGCAGGTACCTCGCAGCGGCAGGCGTGGCAAGGGCTGTCTGCGTCTGTGAAGTTCTGCCCGTTGGCGTACACTTGGCCCTGGTAGGTGCAGCTCTCACAGCTGGGGCAGCAGGCGCCTGGGTGGGGCAGACTGATCAGAGCCCGGTGAGCCAGGGTGGGCTGGACAAAGCGGGGGGGGGGGGGGGGAAGAGAGCCAGATCCGGGTGGAGCACTCACCGGGGGGCTGGGTAGGGTGCTGGCAGGGGGCTGGGGAGCAGAGCACCGCCCCACACATGGGCACGCCATCGTGACAGGCGCAGGCCGTGCAGGGCTGACCATCAGGCTCCCACTGGACCCCCTCGGCAAACTCCTCTCCATCGAGCACACAGGCTAGAGCGAGGGGGGCTGTCACCAGGGCAACCTGGACGCCTCCAGCCGTCCCTGACCTTCCCAGACCACGGGACCCTGGCTTTGCCATCCCCACGGTGGCCTCTGAACACACACCGGACTGGTTGGTGGGCCCGGCAGTGCCCCCCTCCCTGTGAAGGAACCCCTTCCATCTGCAGCGGCTGGACGCAGCCCTCCTGTGAAGCTGTTCCTCCCTCCCCCCCCCCTCCCCACACCTACCTGGGCAGAGCTGGGGGCCAGAGGCAGGCAGCGTGCAGGGGGCAACCGGGCACTCCTGCTCCTCACAGGAGACCTCGCCGGCCTAGGAGGGACGTTGGCTAAGGGTCCTCAAGGGCTGACACAGATCTGGGGCGTGAGAGGGCGGGACTGGCTACCTGGCAGGAGCAGCGGATGCAGCGCCCACTCTCTTGGAGTCTAAAGGTCTCCCCACTCTGATACTGGTGTCCCTGGTACTCACAGCCTGGATTGGAGGACAGGAGGACCGGGGCGGGGGACAGAGCTGGAGGCTGCCGGCGAAGCCTCACATCACCTCGAGGCAGCCACCGCCCGCCCTGCTGTGCCAGGCTCCCCTACCTCCAGGATCCCGGGGCCCAGTTGGCCATGAGAAGGGGAGGTGAGGACGTGGTGACGGGAGCTTAGGCTTATCAAGGCCTTCTCCCGTACTGTAGTCCAAGGGGCTTCCCATAGGTCCCAACGCCTGCGCCCACCCCTGAGCCTCCCTGGGGCCAGTGCCTGCCCCTCTCCAGGTGACTCGAGGCCCCAGCTCACCGTCACACACTGGGCAGCACTGCCCAGGGATCCTGCCTGGGTGTCTGCAGGGCACAGGTGGGCAGGGCAGAGGCTCACACTGGACGCTCCCGTTCTGCGGATAGGGCCTGGTCAGCGTTCGAGAGGCAGGCCCGGGAGCCAGGCCCTCCCTGCCAGGCAGCCACACTCACAGCGCAGCGACAGTGCGAGCAGGGGTCCCCAGAGCCCACCGGCTCTCCGCTGCGGTACTCCCGCCCATTTAGGAAACAGCCTGTTGGGGGAGAGGGTGCCTCAGACCCTCCTCAGGACCCCACCCCCGACACACACACACACTGCTGCACGTCCTGGTCCTGGCCTTCGTGGGAGCCCGAGCTGGGCCGTCCGTGAGCTCTCTGAATGCCCGCCCCAGGCGCCACTCACCGACTCACCATCACACAGCGGGCAGCAGGTGCCTGGCAGGGGCCGCGCAGGGTACGGACACAGGCCGGTGCACTCTTGCTGGCGGCACTGAACGTGGCCCTCCTGGGAGGGGGCGGAGGCGGCGGAAGGGGCAGGGGAAGGGGCCTTTAGAGCTCCGTCACGCGGCAGGAGCAGCAATTGAGTCCCTGCGATCCACTTATTAGATGTTGTTACGGGTTGAACTGTGTCCCCCCCAAATTCCCATGTTGAAGTCCTAACCCCCAGCATGTCAGAACGTGGCCTATTTGGAAACAGGGTCATTGCAGATGTAATTAATTGAGATGAGGTCAGGAGTGGGATGGCCCCTCCAATAACTGTGTCCTTGTAAAAAGGGGAAATTTGAACACACACACACACACACACGCACACACACACGGAGAGCAACACGCAAAGATGAAGCGAGAAGCCGAGGGATGCCAAGGATCGCCAGCAAACCACCGGAAGCTAGGAGAGAGGCCTAGAACAGATTCCCTGTCACAGCCCTCAGAAGGAACCAAACCTGCTGACACCTTGATCTTGGACTTCTGATCTCTTGAACCACAAGACGATACATTTCTGTTGTTTAAGCCAATCCGTTTGTGCTACTTTGTTATGGTGGCCCTAGAAAACTAATACAGATGTATAACCCAGCATGTTACTGAAGCACTCTGTGACTCAGTTTACCCATCTGAAAAAAGACAATAATAGTTCTGTCCTCAGGCACCTGGGTGGCTCAGTCGTTAAGGGTCTGCCTTCAGCTCAGGTCATGATCCCAGGATCCTGGGATCGAGCCCCCCATCGGGCTCCCTGCTCAGAAGGGAGTCTGCCCCTCCCCCCTGCTCGTGCTCTCTCTCTCAAATAAATGAATAAAATCTTAAAAAAATATAGTTCTGTCCCCATAGCCTGTTATGGGAATGTAATGAGATGCGGTGCCTGGTGTGACCTCCACCTCTGGAAGCTGGCAATCCGACTGTAGCTGCTGCTATCCCCCACGGCCCTTCCCACCCAGACCCCACCCCTTGAACTCACACCTGCATCGGGGTCCCCCCCGGCCAGTCCCATAAGTGGACAGCCAGTGACTCTTTCTCACAGGTGTTGGGGAGGGTGGTCCGTGCGAGCAGGGAGGGGGAGCACATCCTTGCAGAGGGTGTGGGTGCAACCATTTGGGTTGCTGAAGTGAAATCCCATAGGCTGGGGGGCTTATAAACAACAGAAATTTAGTTCTCACAGTTCCGGAGGCTGGGAAGTCCAAGAGCAAGGTGAAGGTGCCAGAAGTGCCTGGTAAGGACCTGCTTCCAGGTTCCTAGACACCTGTCTTTTCAATGTGTCTTCACATGGCTGAAGAGAGGAGGAGCTAGTTCTCTGGGGTCCCTTCTACAAGGACACTAATCCCTTTCACAAAGGCTCCACCCTCGAGACCTGAACACCTCCCAAAGGCCCCACCTCCTCATACCAGCACCTTGGGGGTTAGGATTTCAACATATGAATTGCGCTGTGTGGGGGTGGGGCACAAACATTCAGTCTATAGCACCTGGCATGTCTTTCCTCATTTCTCCCTGCTTAAATTCTACTCACCCTTTAAGACCTAAACCCATCCCTCCCATGAAGATTTTCCAGATCTGTGCTAACATAACACAAGTCACAAGTCACTTTAAATTCTCTGGTAGTCAAATTTCAAAAAGTAGAAAGAAGCAGATAAAACTAAATTTTAAGATAGTCCATTCAACTCAATACATCCAACAGTTATTTCAACATACAATCCAACATAGAGTATTAATGAGATCTTTTATATTCCTTTCTTTTGTATTAAGTCTTTAAAATCCCATGCACATTTTACACTCCAGCCCATCTCAGATTGGATGGCCCCATTTCCAGGGCTCAGTGGCCACACGCAGTAGGTTACAGATTGGACAGCCCAGTTCTAGATGGCTCGAGGAAATCTGCATTTCTCTCTCCCGGGAGCTGTTGCTGCCTGTCCTATCCTGCCCTGTCTCACTCCTGGAGCTTGTGAGCTCTTTGAGTACCTTCACAAATCCGTGCTGCACACCTGCTATGCTCAGAACTTGGCACACAGACAGGCACAGCCCCGTCCCCCAACCCCCCACCTCACAGAGCCCAGGATCAGGTCTTCTCCACCTCTGTCCCCTGCCAGGGCCTATGGGACGTGCTCAGTGAAATGAAGGAATGAATATGGTGGGGCTGGGTGTGGGAGCAGCGGCGGGGCTCACCAGGCACTGGCAGATCCGGCATGGGTCCCCAGGAGCCGTCCACTCTTGGCCATGCTCCCGGTAAGAGCCACCTTCCGTGCAGCCTGGGGTGGGGGTGAAGATGGGCGGAGAGGAAGCCTGGTGGCAGCCCGCCTGGCTGCCGGCTTCAGGCTGCCCCCACCTTCCTCCACATGCCCTCGGGGGGCTCTCTCCTGAGCCCAAACCAGACCACGTCATGCCTCTGCCTAGACTCCTGGGGGCTCCCAGGACCCCAGACAGGGTAAGACCCAAGCTCCTTAGCCTGCCCTTCCAGGCCTCCCAGGACCCAGCGCGGCCACGCCCTCCTCCCCCTGCCCTCGGCCTCCCCTCATCTCCCACTGCAGGCTTTGGCCATTCGTGTGTGCTTGCACCTTCCCCCCTAACACACACCCACCTCACACTGTCAGTCCCACACCTTTGTGCAAGCTGTCCTCTCTTCCTGGGATGCCCTCCACCTTATTCCTCCCATCACATAGCTAACTGCTCTTTATGCTGAGGGCTCCCTCAGGACACGCTGTCTCCGGGACGCTCTCCTTCCTGTGTCTAGGCTGGATTGGGTCTCCTTCCTCTGAGTTTCCACAGTACCTGGCACCTGATCCTCATCCTGCCTTTTCGGTAGTACTGGTGTGCGACTCAGCATCACCCTCTAGCTGTCCGCGCCGAGGGCCCGCCTCTGTCCTCCGTGCCCAGAGTAGGTAATAATGGTCAACATTTATCAGGGTATAGAATGTCATTATCCACACCTCACAAATGGGGAACTGAGGCACGGAGTAACTCCCTCAGAGGCACACAGCCATGACGTGGCAAGGGCAGAATCTGAGCCCAGACACCTCAGCTCCAGAGCAGGCTTGACCCGGCATCGCTCCCCCACTGACCAAACCCCCCAGGTCAGAGCCAGCAGAATGAGCTCTGTTGTGGAAGAAATGGCGTGACTTCCCCGCCGGGAGCTCCACCAGGGAAGGGTCAGGGCTCCTACCTTGGCAGGTCGGGCAGCAGCGCCCAGGCCTTGGGACCGGCTCAGGGCAGGGGCTGGGTGGACACTTCATGGGCACACAGCGAACCAGGCCGCTCTGTAATGCACAGACAGCCGGCTCCCAGAGAGCGCGGGGTGGGCAAGGGCGCGACACCCTTGGCGGGGGGGTGGGGCACAGGGCCGGGATGGAGGGAAACCTCACTGGCAGCAGGTCTTGGAAGGTACACGAGGGGATGAAAGGGCAGCAGGGGTGGCCCAAGGTGGGGCAGGGAGTGAATAAGGAGGAGCAGGGCCTGGACAAAGGCGGGGTGGTGGGACTTACCAGGCAGGAGCATTGGAGACAAGGGTTGGAGCTGGACAGGAAGTTGGCCCCCTCTTCATAGGACTGCCCCTCATATTCACAGCCTGGGGAGGGTTGCCAGGATGATAGGCTGGTCAGCAGAGAGCAGGGTGAGTGGACATCACCCAAGGGAAGGCATGACCCCAAGTAGGTACTGGACCCTCGGGGGCTGAGGGGGTGGAGGGGCGAGGCAGGGCAGGAGGTCACCTGGCCGGCAGACGGGGCAGCACTCCCCAGGCGGGGTATAGCTCTCCAGGCAGTTGAGCTCTGGGCATGAGGGCCCCTGGCACCGCACGGTCCCTGCCTGCAGGGCAGACACTGAGCCCTCCCTCCCTCTCCACTGCCCACGCTCACTTACTCTGCTGGCCTAGGGGGCCTAGCAGGCTGCAGCCTCGACGCCTGGGGGGCGGCAGCAGCTCTGTCTGGCCCCCAGATTGGGCTTGGCACTGCCAGGCCGGGGGTATGCCGAGCATCAGGGATGTGCGTGGTGGCCGGGCCTGGGCTCTGATTCCCTTACCTGGCAGGTGCAGATGACACAGGGCTCTGGATGCCACGTTTCCCCGGCCCTGTGGCCTCCGGGGCAGCCTGTAAAACCGGGGCCAGGCCCCCCCGCGTAAGAGACCCATAGTACTGGAGCAAAAGCTCCCACAAGTACCACATCGAAGGGCACCATTCAGGCGATAACCAGAGATTTTTATACTTACTACAACTTTCCAGCAGATGGCAGTCAAGTGTCTGACTCAAACATAATCAGTAGATGTCCATTATTTTACCATAGAAGTGTTGAGGAAAGGGTGCCTTTTCAAAAAATTTCACCGAAGATATACGAGCTAGCAGTGGCCTCAAGGCACCTCGTATCCTGAAAGCTCGGTGCGTGTGTGCGTGCGTGTGGGCGTGCTTGCGTGAGGGCACGTGCGTGTGTGCGTGTGTGTCCCTTGTCTTTGAGATGCATCAGCTCCAGATACTCCCCTCCTCATCTCGGGCCAAGACGCCCAGGCTCCATTTCCAGACCCACTGGTCCCCTGAGCCCCTGACCCACCCTTCACACTACCAGCTGATATTCTGCTAGATAAAATATAGGATGCTCAGTTGAACTTGAATTCCATATAGACAATCTATACTTTTTTTTAGTATGAGTATGTTCCAAATATTGCAGGAGACGTACTTACACTAAAAAAGTATGTGTTGTTTGTGTGCGAAATTCCAATTTAACAAGGCATCCCGTATTCTCTTTGCTAAATCTGACAACCCTATTCCTTGACTACGAGCTAGTGACATCCCTCAGCAGGGCCACTGCGTCCATCTCCTCCCACCTCTCTTCACATCCCTGGCACCACTGCCCTCCTAGCTTCCTACTGTTCGCCTGGATCTGACCAGTCGCCCATGCTTTAGAAGCACCCCTCCCTCCCTCTGCAGCCACTGCCATCCCTGACTCCCTGGCTCCATGCCTAGATGACTACTGTGCTAGCCCACTAACTGGTCTCTCGCATCTAGCCCAAACCAGATGAATATTCCTACAACGCTCCTTTGAACAAGCCACATTCTGGCTCTGCAGCCTTCAGTGGCTCCCCATTGCCCCCAGAAGAAAGTCCAAGCTGCAAGGCTTACAGCAGGCTCTTCCCACTGGGCCTTTCCAGACTGATTTCCTACAACGCACCTCTCCCCACCCTGTTCTTGTGCCCGAAGGGCCATTGAGTACTGTCTCCTTCCGCTGAAATCACTTTCCCTTGAAGGTGCGGCTCAGATGACCCGCCCCGACACAGTCTTGAGTGGAGACCCCTGCCTTCCCACCATCTCCTCCGGCGGCTAACCACACACTGCCCTCCTATAGTTCTTTGAATCTGGTCACTGGATCTTAAATCTTGTGTTGTATTAGCTTTCAGTTTATCCTCTCAACTAGGTTAGAAGCCCCCTGAGGGCAGGAAAAAGGTCAGACAGAGGCTCTGGCTCAGTCCCAGGCCAGAGTCCGTATTTGCGGGCTGTGCTTCGGTTCTGAATTCCCCGAACCACTGCCAGAGTGAGTGGGCAGGCACCCTCTGGGCACGTGGCGGGGGGGGGGCACACGGTGGCTCTGGGGGCCCCCAGAATGAGTGCAGGAGGTGGGGCCGGGTCTGGTGGGGGGCTGACCTGGCTCACAGTGAGGACAGCATGCTCCCGGCTCCGGGCAGGGTCCCCTTGGGCACAGCTTCTCGGTACAGGTTATGGCCCCTCCCTGTGGGGAAGCCGACGGGTGGCTGCGTGGCGTCAGAACGCTGAGGGCCTGGCCTCCGGACCCGAAAGCTCACCCTCGGCAGCGACACAGTGGAGGAGCAAGAGGCAGAGGCGGCTCAGGGTACATGGGCTATCCTCAGTCCGAGGGCAGAAAAGAGACATCCTACCCCCACCCCCATCATCTCCTGCTTCTCTGGAGCCCCAGAAACCATCTCTTCCCCGTGCCAGCAAGTTCCCAGAATGGAAAGGTCCTAGGAAGGGAACCGAGAGCTTCCTCAATGGAGGAGCGAGGAGGGAAAAGCTGGAAGAAGGTGGATGTGGAGCCAAGTGAGGGAGACCAGGCGGGTAGGTGACAGGGACAGACGGATGAGCAGGGACAGGGAGGGTCCACAGGTGAGGGGGTGATGTAGGAAGACAAGCAGCTCCATCCCCTCTGCCCTCCATGCCACTGTTTGCCAGGCCCAAATCAGAGGGGCTTGGGGGCCCCCCACCATGTGTATGTGGGGGGGGGTTGAGCTCCAGAAAACAGAGCCACTTGGAATCAGCTGGAGCCACTGGTGGCAAGGCTTTGGGGGAGGGGCGGGCAGACCCCATTACTCAACTTCCAGCACACGAGGCTGCAGTGACTGGTAACTTAAGTGAGGCAGGTGAGGGGGACAGGTATGGGATATGCAGGTGGGTCACGGGAACTCACCAAGCAGTGGCAGGTGGTGCAGGCGTCTGGGGAGAAGGTCTCCCCGTGGCCATAGGCCTGACCGTTGTGGCTGCAGCCTGGGGAGGAGACAGGCCATCACTCAGGCCCTCACGGCCATCCCCAGGTGCCCAGGTGGTCCTGGCAGGCAGATAGGGTGGCACTCACCATGGCAATGGGGCAGGCCAGGCTTGGGCTCACAGCGCACAGCCCCGTCCCGGCAGACACAGGCTGTGCAGGTGTCGGGCTCCCAGCGAGCACCCTCGGGCCAGGCCCGCCCCAGTCCCCAGCACTGGGCAGAAGCGGGGCGGCATTCACAGGACTCCAGCCGCCTCACCCTCGCCTGCAGCTCCTTGTTCTGGGGGAAAGACGGAGGGGAAGGTAGGAGGTGCTGGCTCAGCTCCGCCCCATCCGACACATCCGGCAGATATGTGGGGTGTGAAGACTGAGCAGAGCGAGAAGGCAATTTGACTGTTCCAGGCACAGGTGGGTCCCTTCCAGGCAGCACCTAGTTTAGCCACAGTTCTCAAGATCTGGAGTCTGGACAGGCTCCCAGGGGAGCCCGGGGCCCCCAGACCTCTCCTTTGGACAGAAGCGGACCAATCCCCTCTCCCCAACAATCGAAGACCTTTATCCATCCAAAATCCTTTCTGATGAGGCCTTACGTACAGTAGGTGCTCCATAGTGTTGGCCAAATACATGAAAGGACATGAACATCTAAATTGATAAAACCAATACTCTGGAGATTCTTCATTTGTATGGAAGAATCAATATTAAGAACCGTTCATATAAGAACTTCTCCATGTGCATTTAAAAACCAAACTCTATTTTACAGTTCCCGCCCCCCTCCCCCCAGCCCAACCCTTCTTTCCTCTAAGGACGCAAGACCTGCCCTACCCCGCGCACACCCACAGGCCTCTCGCGCTACCTGCTCTCTGAGCGCCGTCATCTGGGCCTCCAGCCTTCCCAGCCGTTCCTCCAGGGGGCGCGCCTGCTCCTGGGGGGCCCCAGCAGGGGCCGAGGCGAGGGCAGGCCCCTGCGGCCCGTTGTCGTGGATGTCAGCAAGCTCAGGGGGCTCCCTGAGGATGACCCCACCTGAAGGGGACAAGAATCCAAGGTGGGCTTGTGGGTGAGGGACTGACAAGGTCTCCTGGGTCCTGTCTTCCAAACACTGCAGGGGAGGAGGGGCACCCTGGGCCCCACCCCTGTCCACCTGCCCACGCACCTTCCAGAGAAGGAGATATGGTCTGTGAGGGTGCCGGAGTGAAAGCGTGGAAGGAGAAGGGAAGAGGTGGACAAAAGGGGCCCAGACCAGCTTTCCCAAGTAGCAAGGACCTCTGTCGGGTATCAGCCCCAGGACCCTGACCTGCTGGGGCCATGGGGAGAGAATCTAGGCCGGGGCCTCCCTGCAGTCTCCCATATGCTGCAGGGGCCTCCAGCCATGGGGAGCGGGTCAGGGTCCCCCATCTTTATGTGCGCAGGGTCTTGGCCAGGGTAAGCCTGCGGAGCTGACCAGTCAGTCTGGGAGCGGCCAGCGTGGGCTGCAGTGCAGGGGAGGGAGCTGGCCATGTGAGCGCCCCCGGCCCTCCAACTGCCGGTCCTCACCCGTCAGCGAGGGCGCTGTTACCCGAGCGAGTGCACAGCGAGGGGCGGGGCGGCTCCTCCCTCTGCTCCACCCCCACCCCGCCCCAGCCTTGCCTCTATTTCCAGGCCCCCGGTGGCGGGGCCGCGGGACCCCACCTCGGGACCTCAACAGTCTGTATCTGACAGAGGTCCTTGCTACTTGGGAAAGCTGGTCTGGGTCCCTTTTGTCCACCTTTCCCCTTCTCCTCCTTCCACGCTTTCCCTCCAGCACCGTCCCAGACCAACTCTACTTCCCTGAAAGGGGGGTGGGCAGGTGGACAGAGGTGGGGCCCAGGGTGACCCTCCTTCCCTGCAGGGTTTGGAAGACAGGACCCCACACTGGGCAGGGGGAGCTCCAGAAGGTGGAACTTGGCTGCATTTCTTGAAGGGTTTGGGGAAGGAGTCAGCAGGGCCCCCACTAGCTTTCAAGGCACCAGGCGCAAAAAAGACAGCCTAACCCTGGTTTTTGATGACACTATGTTAGAGAAGGGGGTTCCTCTGAGTTCAGGCCTGGGGTTGGACAGCCATTTCCACCTCATTTGAATCCCTCCGGTGCAGTCAGAAAAGTGAAAACCGTAGGTG